ATTGCGGACCATGGTAACGGGTTTGTGTGTACCTATCTCCTTTCTCTCTCAGCGTCGGGAACCCCCTCCCCCTCCCCACATCCCCCACCCCCGGGCTTAGTTGGCTAACATTGTATCACTTGTAACCTAGTCGTGTTCCCCTCCTCTCCCCCATCCCTCTATTGTTAGTCCCTCGCTCGGGCGCTTTGTATTTCCATATCAGCTTTGTCATCTTTTTTCTGGATACCCAATCCAAAACATGTACTAATAAAAGTCAATCTGTTCCTCCTCCAGTGTTACATGGTGTAAGCATGAGATGCTCTGTGCTGGCTGGATGCTGTGCGGTCATGGTAACTCCAGACCACTTGGAGAATCAGGGTGATTCCCTTGGATTGTACGCTTGGCTAAGATACTCCCTTGTTACTAGGAAACCTTTAGGCATGCTTCACCTGACTGTATCAACTCCCATCCACATTAACCAGCTTGTTTGCCCTTCCTGCCTCCCAGGCTGCCATGCAATGGAAAACTGACACAAGCAGGAAGGGAAGAAAAGTCTGAACTTGCAGCCACAGGGCCCTATTTGAGTGACTTGGAGGAAGAACCCAGATCTGCTTGCAGCAGCCCTGCTCTAGCTCATGGGAAAAGTACCAGGGGTCATTAACAGTCATGTGCGTTTGAGGCCTTGAATTCCCATCTCCTCTGAAACAGAGATGAACCATCAGCCTGTTGGAGCAGAGGGCTCTACGCTGCCGGGCTGCACACCCACCTGCAGTATGGGCACGGCCATCTCCCTGTGGATACCTTTAATCTGGACAGGAAAGGGGTTTCCATACTGGAACGCTGGCATCTATTACATGCCAGCACTTGATGCCAGGGTTGCTAAGTGCCTACCATCACCCAGACCTGATTTGCTTTTTCACCACGTCCATCAGCAAGGCTAGGGGGCCCCGGAAACAACTAACAAAGGAGGAAACATTTCCTTTGTGTAATGGGGGGAAATAGATGGAGGCAATAAATAAAAGGCAGCTAATTAAAAACTAAACCCCTTTTGTGATTCTGCTGCGGTCACCACTGTCTCTGAAATTTAGTCACGGGGGAGATTGAAATGCTGTGGCTAGCCGGGAAACTTAGCAACAGTATTCCAAAGGGTCCCATCCTTCCTTTCCGGAAAGGCATGTTTGCAGTGAGAGCCAGACACAAGAGAATGGCTGTCAGGGAGGCTTTTGTTATTTCTTTACCACTGGGGGTCCTAGTGGGTGGAAACAGATGGCTTGGATCAGGCTTGCTGAAACTAGGCTTTGCATGTGGGTTACTGTTTGGCTTGGAAAAGGGGATAAAACTGATTCTAAATGGGGTTGGAGAAGGTAGGGACATGGGGGTTGGTGTCAGGGGAGACAGAAAAGGTGCACCACCTTGAAGTAGGAAGGGGTGGAAGACAGTTATTTCACATCAAGGAAGGGAGCTATGAAAGAGCATTATCCACTGTGCCTAAGCATCCTGGCACTCTCCTCTCTCTACATCTGCATCATCCCCAGATGGCGACCTTGCTTCAGGCTTGATTTGATCAGTACTTGCATAAGAAATCTCCAAGGAGAACTCAGGAGCAGCAGGGCTGGGTGTCAGTGACTCAGCAGGAGGTGGTGTTAGTGCCAACTCCAATAGCTCAGCACAGAGCAGGCAGTTCTGTGGCTGGGGTGCTGTAGGGAGGATGGGGTGCCTCAGCTGGGGAAACTCACCCTGGAGAGTCAGTCCAGGAGAGCTCACCCTGGAGAGTTGCATCCAAGGGTACTTTTTCCTCAAGAACTGGTGTGTGGTTGTACATCGTTGTCAAATTCAACTTGTGCTTCCCTAAAACCCCTTTGCAATTTCAGACCCACACAGATTTTGTCTCCACTACCTGCCCTTTTGCAGTGCTCCTGTGCAGAGCTTAAGCGTCTACTCCGTTCTATTGCTGGAATAAGTGACAATTCCCAGGTCTATGACTAGTGCTTATTTCTGGTTAGAGCTCAGGCATAGATAACACAGGAGCCACTGAGTTCAACCATGTGTGCTACAGCTGTTTTGGCATAGTCTGGAGGATACAGAGGATCAGGACACCATGCTCCATTTTGATCTAAGCAGAAGCTACGCTGCATGCCGCAGTGAGTTAGCTCTGGCCATACCTTTATACGAAAGATAATATAGATAAAATGGAACAGACTGCAGTTATTTCAAGTGTTGTCTTCGGGATCTTGGTCAGATAGCAATGGGAGGCTTGGCAGGGCAAATTTGGACTGCTTTTATGTTACAGGCTTTATTGCTGTAGCTTGGGTCTAGAAATACTCAGGCAATAAATCAGGGCAGGTTTCATCTCACCTGTTCCCTTCTTGCAGGTGAAAGGGAGGTGATAGTTGCATGGGACATCATTCCACTCTCCCTGCTCATGCCAAATCATCACGACACAGTCCTCTCCTGCGGCAAAGAAGTTATCAGGCTGGTTGGGCCGCCAATTCTCATATTGCTGCGGAGAGATAAGAAACCATCCTCTAAGACTGGGAAACACATTCCTTCTTCCCCCTCAGCTCTCCTTTCCCCTTTAGCTCTTTTCCCTCCTTTTTCACTTCATTTTTGTTCTCTTGCTTCTCCTTTTTGTCCTTTGCTTCCCCCTCTGCATCTGCTTTTCAGTTTGCCTAGTGCTCTCCTTCCCATCCATCCTTTTAATCAGTAGAAATATTGCAATAGTATTATTATTTGTTTTGTGGTAGTGTCTCAGACACAGTCTGGATTCCTCTGTGCTAGATGTTGTACAAACACAGAAGAAAAAGATGGTTCCAAAGTGGCAGACAGAGCCCCAGTGTGATTCAAAGGTCTCTGTCCCTTTATAAAGCCCAAGTCTGAGTGTGTGGATGTGCTTCTCTCCTGAATTGCCTTTCATATAAATAAAGAAATATCCCTCACCATCCCAGCTACCACCCTTGCCCCTCCAGCCATGACTTACTAGGGAGTTCCCATCAGACCAACGGAAATCATGCTCAACAGCTCTGTCACTGAGACCAATCCACTGGTAATCCTGTGCATGGTCTGGAAGAGACAGACAGGGAGAGAAGAATAAGAAATGGGAAAGGGAGTGTGATGATTCCTGCCTTCAGCTTCCCACCCCAGCACAGGTCCTGAGGAATACTGAAAGGATCTATTTGGCTTTGCCAGTGGTTGCACCGTCTTGATTACATGGTTTGCACCTGGGCCACATCAAGGGCCAGCTGAAGAAGGGTGGCTCTAATTATCAGAGGCCGGGTAGACCTACACCTTTATAGACTAACGCAATCAGAGCTGGATAGCATACACATTTGCAAACAGAGGGCTTACTTCATTGAATACTGTGAAGGGACTGCAAGAAGCAGAGCTGCTAAATAGAAAGGAGTGGTCTGACTAACACAGCTAACTGTGGGCTGAGGGACACAGCTTCCCACCTCAGGCAGTAGCAGAGCAGGCTCTCCTGGGCAATGCGTTCCTCCCCAGCTGTGTCTCCCCACTGGGCGCCCACTGGTCCCTCCCACAGGGTCTCACAACTACAGAGTGGCTTGCTGCCAGCCTCAGCCCAGCCCTGCATCCATCTCTGAGAGGAGGCAGCGCAAGCATGTGGCTCCCTTCGCCTGCCTCTCACACTTCCAGCTCCCTGTGGGTGGAGAGTGGTAGGAAATGCTCCCTCAGTGCCAGGGCCGCCTGCCAGGCCCATGTGAGGGAACTGGGATCTCAGGGGCAGCAGGAGGAGTCTGCTTTGGGCTTCCTGTTTGGCTCCTGTTCCTAAGAAGCCCCTGCCCCTCCCTGCCTAGGACGCCACTGTCCAGCCCTACGCCAGCTGCTTCCCAGCCTCCCATTCCCCTCCTCACTGCCCCAGGCTCTTGTCTTCACTCAGAACCCCCACTCCTGTCTTCTTGCCCATTTCAAGCTTTCCCACTCCCCAAACATCCCTTTCTGGCTACCTTGTGCTCTCTGATCTTCAGCCCCCCCCCCCCCCCCCCCCCCCCTTTTT